ATTAAGCAAAGTTCTAGTCACTGAGGGAGGGTGTAAAAAAATCAAAGGTTAGCCCTGCTCTCAAGACGCTTATAATGAGAGGCACACAAGGGCATGCACAAGTAAATACAGAGTAATATTTGCAATAATTGCTGTAAAGTGCAAATCCATTTGACAGCCCAGAGAAGAGGAAGAGTGGGTAGAATCCACATTATTTACAATTTAGAGTGGAGAGTGATGTTCAAAGTGATGCCAATAAGAGAACGTTTTTACTTACTAGATTGGCAAAAGTAAAATTGTTGATGAAATGCCATAGTGCTAACAGGAAAACAATCACTCTCAATACTGTAATTCACATACATTTGTGTAGCCTTTTCAGAGACAACCTGACATTATCAAGAAAAATTAAAAACAGACATCCTAGCTGTCATCACTAGAAATTTATCCTGCATGTAACATCACACACATATGCAAAGATATATTGATTCCAGGATATATACACTGTCTTATAGTTCATGATAAAAACAGGTCAGAAACAACCTAACTATCCATCTCAAGAGGAGACCGCTAAATACATCCTCCATACCACAGGATGCTTTGTGTCTGATAATCAGAACACAGCAGACCTTCTTACACACAGAGTAAAAGCCTCAGTGGTTACAGGAGCCTTGAAAGTGCAACAAAGTGACAAAGCCACACAGGATCTGCCTCAGTCCCCACCCTAACCTCACTCCTGCTGTGTTTCCCCCTCTTGCCTCACTCCAGCCACACTGGCCTTCTGCTTCTCACATGTGCCAGGTACCCTCCCACCTTGGCTTTGGTGCTGCCCTCCTCCTGCTTGGAACACCCCTCCTCCTGAGATTTACCTGTAGATCACCCCCTTGCCTCCTTCGAGACATTGAGCAAATCTCGCCTTTTTAATGACATCCTCCACAACACAGATTTTTTATTTTTATTTTTATTCATAGTACTTATGACCATCTAACATACTTTCTATATAATTTACTTAGATGTGTATTGTCTATCTCTTGCCTCTAAAATATAGTCTCTGAAGGCAGGGCTGTTGAACAGCTGTGTTTACTGATGTAACAAAGTCCTAAGAAGAGCGTGTGGTACATAGTACGTTGACAACAGCATTTGTTGAATTGAATGGACCACACATGTCCACATACATGCAGACACACATGCAGGCATACACTTACATGAACACACACTTTATCTGAGTATAGAATAACTCCAAAAAGTATATAAGAAATTGTGTTTGACTTTGAGAAAAAAGACTAAGGAAGGGAGATCAGAAGCATACGGAAATACAGGGAGTTTCATTTGCCACTATTTACCCTATTATATGCTATTACTTTCTTTCTCTCTCCTTCCCTCCATTTCTTAGTGTAATCCATTATGATAGCCACTAGCCACTCATAGCTAATGAGCACTTGAAACATGGCTAGTCCACATCAAAATGAACCATAAATGTAGAACACACACCAAATTTTGAAGAATTGTACAAATAAAGCAAAATACCTCACTAATCATTTTTATGTTGATTGCATGGTAAAATTATACTATTTGCAATATATTGGCATAATAAAATACATAATTAAAGTTCATTTCACCTGTTTCTTTTGACTTTTTAAAATGTGGCTACAGTAGAATATAAAATCATATATGCAGTTTGAATTTGTGATTTGTATTATATTGCTATTGAACAATTACACTCTCCCTCCATGAAGAAATTTTACACACACACACACACACACACACACACACACACACATATATTGAGTGGCAAAAAGATTCTGAAGTTCTGTAGATAAGCAGACATGAACTAAAAAACCAGTTTTGCTTTTACTTAACTTCTCTGAGTCTTAGTTTCCTTTGCCAGTAAAATGGGGATATGATCCCCTACACCACAAGATTATACTGGAAATTAAAGGAGATAAATGCATATGAGATACTTGATACATAAATGTCTACCATAAAATGATACAGTGCTGGATTTGTTTCCAGAGGAAACAGTGTGTAAAGCTAGTATGAAATCATGAGCCCTACCACCAAGCAAGCAGTAAAACAGTGTCATGTTTGGACAGCCTGTAATACTCATGAGAAAAAAAAGAAAGAAAAAATACCTTGTAAAGATACAAATCTTCCACAGAAAAGCGCAAACTGGAGTCAAATGAAGAAATAAATAATTTCCAGTGCAGTGCTGGGGGTACTCCCATCTATGACACCATTATTTCTATATGTAAACAGTTTAATCAGTAGGTGCAAAATTGCTCAGTAGTGAAAACTTTAGTAGAGATAGGAAAGGGAAATGGGAATCAATGGAAAGCGGTGGAGCTTGTACCAACACTCTCCAGATGTGACAAGTGATCAAGATACGAAGGCGAAGTCTGAAATGACCTCACCTCTAGCCAAAGTCAATTTGAAAATGTGAGAAAGAACTCTATCCCATTAATGTGAGATTAATGTAAGAGGAGAACACATTAGCTGATCACATAGCTTCGGGAGCATTTTTCCCCAAAAAGAGAAATTCAAAGTAAAGACAGAGAAACCAGAAAGCCCCTTCAATAAACATGAAGTGCTGTACTTCAGGAAAATGTCTTTGTGGACATACAATTTCAAGGGGAAAAAGTGAAATCAGATTTAAGTTGCCCAAGTACAGTTTGTCTGTCCTATTCAGGTCAATATGGCAGGTTTTAAAATTAAGCTGGACTTTACTATCTGCCAAACCATAGGACATCAAAGAGAATAGTAAGAACCTCTTGCAAATAAAAATTATGTGTAATGTAGTGTAGCATTTATTTTAGTGGATAAATTTATTTTAATGGCTTTAGAAATGATTTTAGTTCTGTATTCAAAAAAAACATTGAGTCACTTAAATTTTTTCAGTTACACTTTACTGCATTTTATAGGGGAGATTTTATGTTATAATACTGCTGAGTTTGTGAATACAAGAAGACCTTCTGGGCATATTCCTCAGGAATGTCACAAGTTTACTCTATCTAAGAATATTAAACATGGAAATATTTCTTAGTAAGCTGAGATACATAAGATAAAGCAGCTTAGAGAACATAATGACAGTTATCATACAATCAGGAAAGCTGGATTAGTCATTCACTTTTTATTCATTCATTCAACCTACTAACATTTATTGAACATCTACTACGTGACAGGTACTGGGAATACAGTGTTGAACAAGACAGACAACATTCCATACATAATAGTGTTTTGGGGGAGACCCAGTAAACAAATAATATCACATAATATGTGCAGCAGTGAAAATAAAGTGGAACAATGTGGTAGAGAATGACTGGGAAGCTGCTGCAGACGGGAATGTCAGGTCTGAGGACATGGCATTTAAAACGATATTTGCATATTAAGAAGCAGTCAGCCATATGACTATATTCTGGAAGTTCATTCTAGTTGAAAAGCCCTAAAACAAAGTTAGAGAACATAAAAATTAGTGTGGTGAGTGCGTCAGGAGGCAGAGAAGGAGTGGAAGATATGGAGTGGGACTTCATTCCGGGTGTACCCAGGTGAGATGGTGGTAGTAGCAGTGTCAGCATCATTTGAGGTTTCCCCAAGTCCTCACGTAAAAACAGAGCAACCAGGTGGTCAGAACCCCAAGGACAGCATGTACATAAAACCAGGAGACGACGTATCTCACAAACTCCAAATTATAAGCAGGTGAAGACAAGCTACCAAGAACAATATCATTGTTTGTACAAGAGAAAGCAAAGAGAAGCAAACAGGCATCTGATGGATGTGAGAACGGGAGAACCTCCAAATAGTCAACAGGTGTTCATTACAGAGTGTCACATGCTAGTTTGGTAACAGTGATTGAAAATGCTCTAGCCCCATCAGGGCGATGGGTTCACAGCAAGGCACAAGGGGCCTTGTCTGTAACAGTCTTGCCCCTGTGAACTCTTGAATCGGACCAGCTGGGTTTCCTTCCAGAACAGGACCTCATATTGAGGAGAAACTACGGGGTGTGGAATCAAAATTAATCAGGGCAGGAACAGCAGCAATGCAAGAAGAGAAGATCCAGATGAAAGTAAAGGCATATTTTCCACAGTAGCATCCTACAATGTCTCTCATTCCACATGTACTTTTACAGTGTCACCTTGACCACCCACCCCCACCCCACTGAGTGATGAGGTCTATATCCACTCTCCGAATCTGGGCAGAATTTTGGAACTTGATCAACAGAGGATGACAAAAGTGTCTTTATGTGACTTTCAAGGGCAGATCATAAAAATGCTGTGCACTTCCACTTTGCCCTCTTGGAATGCTTCATCTTGGGAATCAGCTGCCATACTGTAAGGAAGCCCAAGCAAGCCCACAGGGAGAAGCCACATGTAGGTATTTCAGCTGAGCTAGAATATCTCCATGTCCTAGAATACCTAGAGTTGAGCCGAGGTTTCAGCTAACAATGAGCTGAGGCCCAAGACAATGTGGAGCCGGCAAACTGTCTGCTGTGCTCCATCTGAATCCCTGATCCATAAAAGCCAAGAACATGATAAAATGATTACTGTTCACCACTGAGTTCTAGAGGAGTTTGTGTCCCAGCAGGTAACAGGGATACCATAGTTTTAATTAAAATATTCTGTCTCATGGTAACATTTATAAGGTATATTTACTTTAAAAGTTGTCTTTATTTTTGGTAAATTATAAAACAAACTCAATGCCAGTAGAAGGGTTCCCCTTTCAAAAGACTAGCTTAATTGATTGGTGTAGCACAATCAATTTTCCTTTGCTTTCAATGGCATCTCTTGCTAGAAAATGCTTCAAAAACTATGCCAGGAGAAGTCTGTTTTTGTTTTTCCAAATGAAGCAGCCAGACTTACTTAGGTTTCTTTCTGTCCTTTTTTTAAACAATTTGCTTGCAAATGATAGAAATTAAGTAAAATGACACATAATTTATCATCCAAACTAGAAAAAAAAGTCTTCAAAACAACTTTAGTGAGATATAGCTCATGTACAAAAAATTTACCCAAGCAAAGTGTCCACATTCAATGTTTTCTTTCTTTTTTTTTTTTTTTTTTTTTTTGAGACAGAGTCTCACCTCTGTCACCAGGCTGGAGTGCAGTGGCACAATCTCGACTCAGCTCGCTGTAACCTCCACCTCCTGGATTCAACCAATTCTCCTGTCTCAGCCTCCTGAATAGCTGGGATTACAGGTGTCTGCCACCACGCTCAGCTAATTTTTTGCATTTTTAGTAGAGACGGGGTTTCACCATGTTGGCTAGGATGGTCTGGATCTCCTGACCTTGTGATCCGCCCACCTCAGCCTCCCAAAGTGCTAGGATTACAGGTATGAACCACCGCGCTCAGCCTCAACGTTTTCTTTTCTTTTTTCTTTCTTTTCTTTGAGACGGAGTTTCACTCTTGTTACCCAGGTTGGAGTGCAAAGGCGCGATCTCGGCCCACTGCAACCTCCGCCTCCTGGGTTCAGGCAATTCTCCTGCCTCAGCCTGCTGAGTAGCTGGGATTACAGGCATGCACCACCATGCCCAGCTAATTTTTTGTATTTTTAGTAGAGACGGGGTTTCACCATGTTGACCAGGATGGTCTCGGTCTCTTGACCTCGTGATTCACCCGCCTCGGCCTTCCAAAGTGCTGGGATTACAGGCTTGAGCCACCGCGCCTGGCCGCCTCAACGTTTTCTTATTACACTGATAGGGTTCTGCAAACATCTCGACAATCTAATTTTGGATTTTTTTTTCATCTCTCTCTAACCTAGGACAAATTGAAAATGAAAGGAGCACTAATAATAATCATGCAAGAACAACAGGTATGAATTTGGTATATCCAGGGTCTATCCAAGGCAAACTGAAGTGAATCATCGCTGAGGTAGAAGATACAGGTATTGGGGAGAAAGCTGAAAACCTAAATCAAAATAGGAGGCTGCACGAAAAAGGGTGCAGGTTTTAAAAAAGATAATCAGAAATGAAACTCTCATTGACTTACTGGGGTAGGGGAAGGGTGTATACATTGGTAATATCTATTAAAGCTGAACATATGCAGGTGTTATATGATCCAGCAATTCCACTCCAAAATTTACAAATGAAAATGACAACTAAACCATGTGGTGATTTCATTTCCATAAAGGTCAAAAACATGCAACAGTATCTGTGACATTAGATTTCGGATCAGGATGGTGGTTAACCTTGGACAGGAATTACTGACTAGACAGAGAGGCATAAGGGGAATTTTGAGGTGCCGGCTAATGTTCTACTTCTTGATCTGGATACTGGTACATGTTATGTTCACTTCTTAAAAATTCACTGGCTGGGCATGGTGGCTCATGCCTGTAATCCCAGCACTTTGGGAGGCTAAGGTGGGCAGATCACAAGGTCAGGAATTCGATACCAGCTGGCCAATATAGTGAAACTCTGTCTCTACTAAAAATGCAAAAATTAGCAGGGTATGGTGGCAAGCACCTGTAGTCCCAGCTACTCAGGAGGCTGGAGAATCGCTTGAACCCAGGAGGCGAAGGTGGCAGTGAGCTGCGATCGTGCCACTACATTCCAGCCTGGGTGACAGAGCAAGACTCTGTTTCAAAAAAAGAAAAAAATTATTAAGTTGTAGATTTGGAATCTGTGCACTTTTTATATGAATGTTAGACTTCAGTAAAAATCCTACATAGAAATGAATGGGTTTGTGTTTGATAAAGACATTAGGAATTTGGATTGAGACCGGATTTCCAAGCCCTCCCCATTAACAGAAAGCAATCTTAAAGAAAGCAATTAGGAGTAGTTAGTGTTCACACTGCAGCAAGTGGTTGCTAATTTTAACACCTTTCTCTGTAACTGGAGGCAATGAAGTTCCTGGGTAAATAGAAGTGGTGAAAAACAAAAGGTCTTTCCCTGAATGTTTAAGTAAAGACTGAAACAATTAACTACCAATTCAAAATGAAGGAGGCTTTTTGTTAGAGTTTTTAATTGCCTCTACTAACCAGAATAGTATTTTAGAGTTAGAAGTAATCTTCAAGATCATGCAATCAATGTCTTTCACTTTCTAGTTATGGAAACTAAGATCCAGAGAACTGATATGATAGCCCAAAGTGCATAGCTAGTGAGTGACAAAGCTGGGATCAGAACCCCATACTCTTGACTCATGAACAACTTTTTTCTATTTATAATGGTAGTTACTGCTTGCTATGTAACAATCTCTGCCACAAGAGTTTTCCTAATCAAACTCCACAGCTTCTGCATGGCAAAAGAAACAGTCACTAGAGTGAATTGGCAATCAACAGAATGGGAAAAAATTTTTGCAGTTTACCCATCTGACAAAGGGCTGATATCCAGAATTTACAAAGAACTAAAACAGATTTACAGGAAAAAAACAAACAAGCCCATTCAAAAATGGGCAAAGGATATGAACAGACACTTTACAAAAGAAGACATACATGACACCAACAAACATATGAAAAAATGCTCATCATCACTGGTCATTAGAGAGATGCAAATCAAAATCACATTGAGATACCATCTCACGCCAGTTAGAATGGTGATCATTAAAAAATCTGGAGACAACAGATGCTGGAGAGGATGTAGAGAAATAGGAACACTTTTACACTGTTGGTGGGAGTGTAAATTAGATCAACCATTGTGGAAGACAGTGTGGTGATTCCTCAAGGACCTAGACATAGAAATTCCATTTGACCCAGCAATCCCATTACTGGGTATATATCCAAAGGACTATAAATCGTTCTACTATAAGGACACATGCACACGAATGTTCATTGCAGCACTGTTTACAATAGCAAAGACCTGGAACCAACCCAAATGCCCAACGATGATAGACTGGACTGGGAAAATGTGGCACATATATACCATGGAATATTATGCAGCAATCAAAAATGATGAGTTCGTGTCCTTTGTAGGAACATGGATGAATCTGGAGAACATCATTCTCAGCAAACTGACACAGGAACAGAAAATGAAATACCACATATTCTCACTCATAGGCGGGTGATGAAAAATGAGAACACATGGACATGGGGAAGGGAGTACTACACACTGGGGTCTATTGGGGGGAATAGGGGAGGGACAGCGGTGGGGGGAGCTGGGGAGGGATAGCCTGGGGAGAAATGCCAAATGTGGGTGAAGGGGAGGAAGGCAGCAAAACACACTGCCATGTGTGTACCTATGCAACTATCTTGCATGTTCTGCACATGTACCCCCAAACCTAAAATGCAATTAAAAAAAAGGTTTCCTATCACTCTCATCTCATCTCCATGAGAGACAACAGGCATAAGTTATCCCCATTTTACAGAGGGGGAAACTGAAGATGCTTAGAGAAGTTAATATACTTTGACAAAGTTAAAAATCAGTTATGCCAGGATTCTGATCATTTCTCCCTCTGGAGTCTGACATTTTAACCAAGGTGCATTACTGCTTCCTTGGATTAATAGTGCATTGCCATATTTCTCAACTGAAGGACAAATAAGTAAATATACATTGTTTCTTTTTTCTTCTTTTTTTTTTTTTCTTTGAGACACTCTGTCACCCAGGCTGGAGTGCAGTGGCATAATCTTGACCCACTGCAACCTCTGCCTCCTGGGTTCAAGTGATTCTCATTCTGAAGCCTGCCGAGTAGCTAGGATTACAGGCATGCGTTACCACACCTGGCTACTTTTTGTACTTTTTCAGTAGAGATTTGTGTTTTACCATGTTGGCCAGGCTGATGTAGAACTCCTGGCCTCATGTGATCAGCCCGCCTCAGCTTCCCAAAGTGCTTGGATTACAGGTGTGAGCCGCCATGCTCGACCACATTGTTTCTTGATTATTATGTCATGGAAAAAAACAAGTGCATAGTCTATTTCTGTGTCACAGTTCAGTTCTCATTTATTCCTATCTGAGAAAAATACATCCATTTGACAACGGTTAACCAGCACCGGCATTTTCCTCTTGGCAGCAACCTTTAAGTGAAGTAGCTGTGCTTAGAGGGCTAGGAGTTAATCAACACTCAGAGATGACCTTGCAAACATGACATGCTTTAATGATGCATCTTTATTTCCTTGGCAATGTTCTTGACAACATTCATAAGTAGGGTTAAAGACTCATGGCAAATACAGCAATTTTACAGTTTTCTTCTTAAGCAGCCGTGGATGTTTAAGATAAGGTATTGTAAACAGAGTTTAGGTAACCACTTATACCTAAAAGTGCTAAAAAAAAAAAAAAACAGTAGTTTGAGTTCAATACAAATATAAAAATATATTCAGATAGGACATTTGATTTGGCAATGGTTAGCTTGCATTAGGATTTGATTTTCCTGACATTCTTTATAAATACCTAATCTGTAGTAGAACTGAGACATTTCATAAGTGCAGGCTCATTCATTATGCATTGCAAAGTGCATTTCCTTTCCATTCATTCATGTTGTAAGACTATCAAGGTTAACAGAAGAACAAAAATGGTATTCGCTTTCCATATAATTGTCATAATTTTAAACTTATATAAGTAGGAACAGAGGGACAGCAGGGAAAAGGCAAGAAGGCCTCTAATTTAAGCCAATATTTTCTCTAATTTTTTTAAGTTGTAAGTACATAACCATAACCATGTTACATGAAAAATAAAATAGGAGGATTGAACACAAATGATCACTTTATCCAGCTATACCCCAAGGATGAGAAATAGGTGGCCTACTTTCACTCCCATAGCAGACGTCACTAATTGATAGGGCCTGCTTTCCTACCAAATACAGATTCCTGTGACCTCACAATCTTACCCAATAGTCACATTGATTATCTATTATGTGCACAGCACTGTACTAACCTCTTTACATGTATCATTTCATTTTATAACCTCACAATGTCCTGATGAGGGAGGTACTATTATTATTTTCTTTGAGAGATGTGGACACTAAGAATCTGGGGTTAACTTAACAATTGGCAGGAGCTGAGCTAGCATTCAAAGCCAAACTCATTGTAATCCAATGTCCAGACTCGTAATGACTACCCTCTACAGCCAGCTTCCAACAGTTGACTGCAGTTAGCACATAATCTATTTGCCATCCTAATTCTTATGTATATATTCCTTCTATAGCATCACTAACTGTGGCCAAAGGAAAGATATTACTGCTTTCGGGGGGAAAAAAAATCTTCCTTAAAAACTACTCCCTGGTCTTAGCTTTGGTGTTAAGAGTCACACAAAGCATATTCGTGGGTTACCCATGTTAGCACTATTGTACCTCCAGCCTCCTCTCTGTTACTTTTTCTGTGAAGTCTTGTCTTGACCAGAATAGGCACCTTCTGTTCTTTCCGTCAGGCCATATGGACCTTTCATATGTCTAGTCGTTCTTCTCTGGCAGTCCTCCTGTTTGTCCACATCTCCCTGAAGCAAAAAACATGTTGCCCATGAGGTCTGACCAGCTACCTGTTCTACTTTCAAGTAGGAAGCCCTTCTAATAGGACAACTACCTTCTGTATTCTGGCTCTCTTTCTTATCACATTTGAAAGCTGATTTTTAAATGAGTTTCCTAACTCTACTGACTTGTACTTTATAATATTTTATTAAGTCAGCATAGGCCTTGAACTCCTAACAAAAAGGTGGATATAAGAAGGAAGTAGAAAAAAGTTAAGAGCTGGTTGAAGAAAAAATGTTGAGGGACAGGCACAATGGCTCATGCCTGTAATCCCAGTATTTTGGGAGGCCAAGATGGGCAGACCACTTGAACTCAGGAGTTCAAGACCAGCCTGGGCAACATGGTGAAACCTGTCTCTTCCGAATACAAAAAAAAAAAAATTAGCTGGATATGGTGGCATATTCCTATAATCCCAGCTACTTGCAAGGCTGAGGGGGAGGCTCACTTCAGCCCAGGATGTGGAGACTGTAGTGAGCTGTGATTGTGCCACTGCACTCCAGCCTGGTCAGCACAGCACAGCAAGACCCTGTCTCAAAAAGAAAAAGGTTAAGGAGATGGAAATATTTCTGGTAAGAGAGGCTGCAAGTTCCCTATATGAAAACATGTCCTTTTATTTAAGTAGAATATACTTAGCAAAATGTAGTAAAGTGACCCAATCCAAAATTCTCTCTTATTCTGCCTGAAATTCCATCATTTAGAGATTCATTTGAGTTAATAAGCAAAAACAAAAGCAAAACAAAACAAAAACTTCATTATTACAACCTGGATTATCCGACAGTCACACATTTAAGTGACTTTTAAAACGAAAGCAGGGTTAAGCATGGTGGCTCTCACCTATAATCTCAGCACTTTTGGAGGCTGAGGTGGGAGGATTGCTCGAGGCCAGGAGTTTGATACCAGCCCAGGGAAAATAGAGAGACTTCATCTCTACAAAAATATTAAAAAATTAACCAGGCATGGTGGCATGCACCAATAGTCCCAGCTACTCAGGAGGTTGAGGTGGGAGGATTGCTCAAGCCCAGGAGATGGAGGCTACAGTGAGCTATGACTACACTACTGCACTCTAGCCTGGATGACAAAGCAAGACCGTGTCTCAAAAAAATTAAAAATAAAAAGAAAGCAATTTGGTTTGGCAAATGACACTGTTTTGTATTGAAATTGTAGTTTTTTGAATGGAATAAGGATTGAAGAGAAGGAGACAACTAAGAATTTGGAATTGGGGGTTAGAAAACCAAAATCCATTCCAGTGGATGGACAGGACAACCACATTTTGTAAAATAAAAATCAATACATATTGTTGGATAGAGGAAAAGAATGTGGATTGGCACAGTGGCCCCACACATGAGCTGCATGGAGACCATAGACCTTTGTTGGTGGGGAAGACCTGGACAGAACAGTACCGTGTCTTACAGCAACCTATAAGACAGCAGCAGGGCTGGGGACAGCTTCAGGAGGCAAGTTCAGCTTCATGGCCGTTCAACTTGAGACAAATTAGGCTGATGCTTTCTCCTCCTCCCTGACCCAAATCATGTATCTCCTGTCTCATCCTCAGACATTGACCACGTTCTGCTTTTCCTAGCAGCCTCAGTGTTTTAGCCGGTATCTACTGGTGAGCACTCAAAGGTGAATGTTGCTGGAGCACCAAATACCCTGCCTGGGAGGTGCTGCGCTGGAAGGAGAATGATGGGAGCCTTGGTCTATTGGCTCTCCAGACATAGTGACTCCCAAGGGTCCTCACAGGACTAGGAAGAGGAGAAGACAATAATCATTATCAAGAGAAGGAGCCTTGAGCAACACCCAGTTTATATGGGACCACAGGGTAGAAAATAGCACTAAGGCTTAACACATGATCTTTGCTTTTGCCATTGACCTCATACAACATAATTTAATCTTAAGAACCATGTAACAATTCTGTTTTCTCTCTGAAAAAGAGCCAAAGCTGACCCTCAGGTCTAATCTTTTCAATACCTGAAAGTGGGGGTATGGAGTGGTTGCTGGAAAGAGAGGAGAAGAAATCCAAAACAAAACAAGCCAGCTGCTATAAAGCTGTGCCTACAGCTTATGAGGTTTAATTTTACGCACAAGTAACCTTGGTTACCTAGTATTTGACCCCTAAATGGCCCAGCTGAGCCCAATTACTATCTATGCACACACACCTGTGTTTTATGTAAGTCAGCACAGTAATAAGGCTTTGTTTTCATTCTAAAGTTCCAGACAAATGAACTGAATTCAGTCCTGGGGATGTGCTCTACTAACAATTAAAGGGTACACAGAAGGTTTAGGAAACACTTTGCTTCCAGAAGACACACTTGTATTGCAAAACTGTGGTTTGGCTTTTGCTGTTGATTTTAAACTATATTTAGCATAAATTCTTTCATTAAGAAGAATTCTCTTCCCATTTCTGCCACCAAAACAAGATAGGTTATCCTGTACATCTGTAAGTCCCCCAGTGCTATGATCTGAATGTCCGTGTCTTCCACCAACCCTCTCTCCTGCAAATTCATATGCTGAAATCCTAAACCCCAAGGTGATGATGGTATTAAGAGGTGAAGCCTTGGGGAGGTGATTAGATCATGAGGGCAGGGAAGAGCTTCACAGATGGGATTAGCATCCTTTTAAAAGAGATCCCAGAGAGTTGCCTTGTTCCTTCCGCCACGTAAGGACACAGCTAAAAGTCACCATCTATGAGCAACAGGCCATCATCAAACACTGAATCTACCCATGCCTTGATCTTGGAATTCCCAAGCTCCAGAACTACGAGAAATACATTTCTGTTGTTTATAAGGTACCCAGTCTATGGTATTTAGTTACAGCAGCCTGAATGAACTAAGATACCCCCCAAAAGTAAACTGCATGAGTTAGAACAGGTAGGGGCTTAAAGAGTAACGGATGGGTGCTGTGGGCCTTAGTGATGTGTCTATCATCAGCCAAGGGGCCTTACTGTAGTCACAGAACCTCAAGGTTTCTTTCCACCACTCCAAGTTCATATTTTATTTTTTAGATTTAATATAAAGCTTTAATAAGATAGTGTGGTACTAGCAAAAGAATAGACAAATAATGAAACAGAACAGAGTTCAGAAACAGAGTCATAGTCAACTGATGTCTAGCAAAAGGACAAGGAAATATGATGGGGTAAAAATAGTCTTTTTCAACAAACAATGCTGGAACAACTGGACATCCACAGGTAAAAAAAATGAATCTAGACACAGACTTTACACCCTTCAACAATAATTCATAGGATTTACATTTTGGCTTCTGTTACTTTCTCTGGGTTCCCGGGGTGGGAAAGTGACCCAGGATTGGTCAGCTGAAGTATTTCATGCCACCCTGCCATAGGGGTGGTCATGGGGCACAGGAAAGATTGATAAAATCCATTCAAAACTATTTAGAAGGCAAAGTTGAGTGCCAATGGAGAACGGAATTCTGCTGCACCTACTCCCATGATAACACCAAGACTCTTTTTTGTGAAATACAAAAATAAATTACTTTTTTTTTTTGCTAAAGCCAGTTTGAGCTTAATTTTGGTGGCTTTTCCCTTAAAAACTCTGGACACAGTGGAGGTGCATCTGTTCCAATTTTATTTCTTTCAGTTTACTGTGGTTGAACAATAATATTTAACATGAATAAGGTAGGCAGCATTCGGAGGGCCCAGATGACTAAAACTTCCTAATATCCTCCTAGTATTGAATACTAGGGAGGTGCAATCCCTTCCTCTTGAGTGTAGGCTGGAACTAGTGACTCTCTTCCAATGAACAGAATGCTAGAGCGATGAGATATCACTTCTGAGATTAATTAAAAAAAAAAAAAAAACAACCTGTGGTTTTTGTCTTGCATGCCCTTTCTTGCTCTCTCTGGCTCACCTGCTCTAAAAGTGACCAGTTACCTTGTTTGATCAGTTTAATGGAGAGGGCCATGTGAGAAAAACAGAAAACAAAAAACAACCCCACAAAAACTGACATCTCCATGCAATAGTCATCTAGAACCTGAGACCTGCCTGCAGCCACGTGGGTGAGCTTTCAAGGTATCCCACCCCATTCCAGCTGAGAGATGATTGTAGCCCCAGCCTGTACATTGGTCACAGCCTTCTGAGAGATCAGGAAACTGAGGATCCAGCTAAGCTGCACCAATATTCCTGATTCACAGAAACTATGAGAGAAGAAATGTTTGTTTTTGTAAGCTGCCAAATTTTAGGGCAATTTGTCATGCAGCAATAGATAACTGATAGAAAGGAATTAAATATATTAATAAAATACTCATCCTTTGCCTTTTTGTTATGTTTCCCAAGACAACTCTCTTTTGCTTTATTTATAGGACTTTAAAATGCAATTTCAGTATATTCAAGGTCACAGCATAATTCTATTAGATTGATAAAATGGTATTTGAATAGTAAAATTCTTTACAAAGAAAGGCTGACACTTTAAATTCCATTACAGTTTAGATGATTCTATTTTACAAGTACATATTGAGCACCTGCTATGTTCCAAGCACAGCAGAATAAGTCGGATGGGCAGCTTGTTTCAAAGAGCTCAAAATCCACTCAAGAGAAGGGAAAATCTCATAAGATTTAGAAATAAGTGAATCAGGAGGCATGCCACTACTCACTAGTTGTGTGACACTGGATAAACCACTTAAATTTTCAGTGCTTTTGTTTTCTCATCCATAAAATGAGGAATAACAGTAACAGCAGCTGATTTATCAATTTATAAGAGTGCTACAAAGACCACAAAGGACAATGTAGTTATAGCATAGTAAAATTTTACAATATAATTATTTTATAATTTATAAATAATTATTATTTATAATAATTTATAATAATAATTTATAATTATTACAATGCTTATTACCAAAACTATAATATACAGGCTTTACTATAGAAATACATAGGAATGGTCCATAATTAATTTGCTGTTTACTGGCATGTAAATTTTTTTCCATCAACTATTTAAATATGTCCTTAAATTTGAAATTTGTATTCTAAACATACCTGTTTGATCACTCTTTTCAAAACCATGCAATCTGAATTACTTCTTGAATGTAAAACACTAATACTTTCATCTCAATGTATTCTCTGTCAGAAGATAAAGTAATTGTTTACAGAAAAACTGAGTGAAAATTACAAGGAAGATGCAAATTCTAATCATTTTGATTAGATCAATTAATAACATAAGTAAAAAGTTTCTGTAAGAAAGAGAAAGAAATCGTATTTGATGTTGAATTTAAAGTGTTTAGAGCTATCATTTAGAATCCATTAAATATTCTCATTACTTCTATTGCCTTCTCCACTAAGCTTCCTTTAATATAATTTGTGATTCATTAGATCAACATTTTGAGGTCACTGGAAAACACTTTATTTTCAATATGCCACTGTATTTAAATTCATCATTCTAGTTCAAACAGCAGATCCCTTAATAAAAATGCACAGGCAAGAATAATTGATTTCATTTTAGGGAAAAGATATCAACAATAAACTGCTTTGGACTGTACAATCAATGGTTATTGAATTCTGGACTCCAAGCTAATATTTCCAGCTACACAGGTCCTTCAGACTCAAGTTGCCCACTTTGACAGTAATGAACAAGGTCAGAATCATGAATTCAAGTAGTGTGACATGAACAGAACTCTTTAACTCAAAAAATTTTAGCCTTGAGGCACCATAAACTGCCAAGTATCTTTCCAATAGGCCTAAATATTAATGTATACTTTAAAGTTGGAGATAGATCTGTCCCTTGAAATCCACTATTCTAGTTGTCTACAGTTTTGTGTTAAATAAAATAAAATGAAACATTTATTAAGCTCCAACTATGGGCTAACCTGGGTGCAGAGGGAATACAAAGATGAAGTATAAAGTAGATGAAGTAGCTAAAATATAATAGAAAACTTAGATAATGTAGGGAATGAGAAATGAATTTGAGGTTCCTAGTTTTTTAGAGGACAATGCCTTTAGCAAAAAGGTAGAAAAGAGAGAAGAAAGGTAGAGGGAACATGTTTGGGTAGGAGCTAAGGTATTCAGTTCAGTATAGGAAAAGTAGACATCTGAGGTTATGGACCACCCAAATGACAGCAGCAAAGATAGATCTAGAGGTCAGTTGTGACATCTAAACTACAAATAGAGGGAGGCTGAGATTGCCCAGGAAGAGTTCACAGAGTGAGAAGGGAGAAAAGCCAGTGCTGAACCCCAGAGTTAAGTGGAAGGAGGGAAAGGAAGGAGAAGGTATTAGAGAGGGGCCAGAGGATTAGAAAGAAGATGGATCATAGATGCCAAGACAGGAAAGGCTCAAAGAGCAAAATGATGACTGGTGCAGTTGCTACAGGAAGCTCAACAAAGTTATAGTCTTAAAGACCACTAAATTTGGAACAAGGAGACCACTGATGATCTCTGCTGAGTCCTTTTCAGTAGAATGGCAGGTGCAGAATCCAGAGAGCCACACAGCATCGCTCAATCACTCACGGTTTTGGAAGGTGGGAGAAGCAGAGTCAAGTAAACTAAGGAGTAGCCCCTGTTAGAGGAAAGTAGAGTGTGTTTCAGGATGGGAGGAGCAGGCTGGGACTTCAGAAGAGAGGTGCAATTTGGGAATAATTGCTTAGGGAAAGCAGTTATGTGGAGGGAGATAAAGACGAAAGATTGATGACTAGTGTTGAGACCCCAGCTGAGGCTGGAACTCACAAATTTGTAATGTAGCCAACCACCATGGATATATCGTATTTTATTCTGGTAATGTCAGTGGCAGGAGTGAAGACCACAGATGGTTTGATGAAGCTAAGGTTGAGCATTGGCAGGGTTTTAAGGATGAAGTCTTGAGGGGAGATATACTTGAGGGGCCTGGTGATTCATCAGGGAACTGAATACCTAATGAAATAATAACTTGACAAAACTCTTTCTTGTATCCATAATATTATATATGTATTATTTCAGTAGCTTTTGGGGTACAAGTGCTTTTTAGTTACAAAGATGAGTTGTATACTGGTGCTGCGATTTTAGTGCACCTGCCTCCTCAATAGTGTACACTGTACCCAATATGTAGTTTTAATCCCTCATCCATCTTAACTTCCTCCCTTCTGAGCCTCCAATGTCCATTATACCACTCTGTGTGTCTTTGCTTAGCTCCAACATGTAAGTGAGAACATGTGGCATTTGATTTTCCATTCCTGAGTTAGAGAAGTCAACAACATTCTCACAGGTGGAGATGACTGGCAAGGGAAGGGCATGGAAAATTTAACATTCCAATTTTCTCATGAGAAAGAGGTGGGAAAATGAGATATCATGAAATTTTTGAGGAGAAAACAGGATTCAAAAATAGAGAAAGAACCTGATAAATTTAAGAGCTACCAAATACCTTAACAAAGGAAAAGAACTGATTTGGAACTTTTAGAAATGATATACTTTACTATGACTTTTCTCTACAAAGCTTAATATTTGTACTTTGTTCATAACATCAAACAGTTCCAAATCATGTCAGGCCATTTCTTTCTTTTTCTTTTTTTGCAGTGCAGTAGCATGATCATGGCTCAATGTAGCCTCTACCTCCTGGACTCAAGTAAGCTTTCTGCCTCAGTGTCCCTACCTCCTCTCCCAAGTATCTGGGATTACAGGCACACACTCCCATGCCTGGCTAATTTTAAAATTTTCTGTGGAAGCTGGGGATGGTGGCTCACACCTGAAATCCCAGCACTTTGGGGAGGCCAAGGGGTGACCTTGAGCTCAGAAGTTCAAGAACAGCCTAGGCAATATGGCAAAACCCCATCTCTACAAAACAAAATCATTTAAAAAGTAATTTTATTTTATAGAGACAGAGTCTCCATAGGTTGCCCAGGCTATATTGGGCTATTTCTGAGGTTTGCTATTACAACTCAAACTAAAGATCTCTGTCTTGTTTAAATGAAGTATTGCAATGTCTGACTGAGGAACACTCAACTTTAAGAAGTAAAAAGTAAAAATAAAACCTTCCAAATGAAAATGCATAGCTAATTGTCTGAGACAATTACAACACTCCAAGTAGAACACTTTATCAAAGCCAAGCTCAAATTAGATATCATAAATCACATAACCTGACACTAAGAGTTCCCTAACCACTGTTGCCAATACTCCAAATAATATTCACTAAAAATGCATATATTTTATAGTAAATAATTTCACTCCATTTGAGAAATATTGCCTATCAGTAAATTTGATATGTGGATATTTATCCAGGGAAGAGGAGAATATGATTCACGTGTGACTTAATAATAGAAAATATAAACAAATAAGTTCCTATACAGTTTTCCAATTCTCATGAATTCTAGGATTTATTTGGAATTCCTCAGAGAACTCTCTGCTCTTATGACAGTATTATATCCACATTCACATTTTTGTTTATACAGATGCATTGGTTTTTACTGTTTAGCTTTCCATAATTTGAGTTCTAGGTATCACAGACACCAAATGCATTCATATTTAAATATTCCGATGACTGGATATGACACAGGACAATGGCATAGCCCTCCTGCTCTTGTTCTGTGTTGCTGAGGGATTATACACAAAGGTGAGTGAGGGTCTCGCTCTAAACTGGATCTTTCTGCTCACCTTTGTGATAATAAGTTTTCTTCCAATACAAGTATGCTGTGAATTATAAACATCAGTCCCTAATTTCAGATTCAGTAGGAAAAAAAATAACGAAGTCACACTAGAGTGTAAGGTAAATTCTCCCATTCAAAGTACTACTGAATACAAAATAACTGAATGAGCATACAGAGAAGAACATTCATCTCATTATAAAAATGGTTACTCCTAACAGCATGCTGCATTTGCTGCTTTTTCTCCTTTTGGAGACATGGAATTATATCCAAGCTGACTCAGGAGTTTATCAACCCATCACGAGGATTAAGGCTGCCTTCACGAAGGCACCCTTGCCCAGCATCATAGGGAAGGCCAGCACACAGCACTGCAAGTGGGAGCTGGGACACTCCCACCATGGCTCTCAGCACTCAGGAGCACCTAATGCATACTCACTGATAATAGCTAAACTAAAAACAGTAGTGTAACATTGGGAAAATTAAGCTCTTTTGGCTCAAGTTTTATCTGTAAAATAAAGATAATAGTATTTAGTCTCATGGAGTTGTGTGAATTAAATGAGCTAATGCACATAAATTACATAGCACAGGGCCTAGCATACCCTCATCTCAGGAGATCAAGCATAATAAACTTGGTAGCAAGTGTGTGTTGAAAAGGAAAAGGTAGGTCTATAAGAAAGAATCTTACACAGTATAATCACTGGTTTCCCCTTCTATTTTCATTGCATTTGGATTCTTGAAACATCTGTTGCAAGAGCTGTGTTGTCCTCTGCTACACAGAGTAGTAGATGGAGAGGAACAGCATCGATCACGGATATGGCAAACCAAGATTCTTACAGCCAGAGTATGGTTTTCTAAACCTCCTAATCATTTCAAATACCTGAATAGTGACTACAAAGTAATGAGATAGGCTTCCATGGGTGGCTTATGAGAATCGGTCTTCTTCACAGCTTTTTAAAACAGAAACATCTATAGATGGCCCAGGCACTGTCCTAGATGCTGGAATATGAATATGAAAATATGGCACTCACAGAAGGACGCTGTATCTAAGTAATCACTAAACAATGGAGTAGGTGGGGGTGCCATTCACATACACAGGGGCCCCAGGGATAACTCCTGGGAGAGTGAGGAGGGTTGTGGGAAACTTCACATGAATGCAATGTTTGAAACAATGGAAGGGTATGG